GAGCAGAGATGCCATCATACTGCACAGCATCATGCCTCTGGCTCAGGGATGGGCAATGATAACACATGGACAATGGGATTCAGCACCACGCTTGTTGTGCTGGATCCCACCTGCAGTGACAGAGACCTGCCCTGAATCACCCGCTGGGAATGCATGCTGAGTTGGTTGTGAGCGCAGGGAAAATTGGGAACAACATGCCAGCAGGAGATACCGGCAGGGTTCAACACATCAAGCTGTGTCATTGGACGGAACAAAGCATGGTTCAGGCACGCTAGGCCAGGGCCCTAGCTGAGCACACACATCTGCACACCTGTGTGTAGCCTAGGTACTTGTTCCAGGATAACATGCCTGCCCACTCAGCATGCACTTGCACCAGGGTACACATGCTCCTTGTCTTGGCAACATGCACTGACCTATTAGAAGACTGAAGAGGGTCTGTATCTGCTTATTCATTGGCAATGCCTGATCAATCTGGTGCACCAATAAAGCCCCTCAGAGCTGAAGTTACAGGCACACCTGGTGAACACAAACACACTGCGTAGACACACACACTCCTGCACTGTTGCACAGATGCAACTGTGCACATACTCTTTTGCACACCCAGGCATAAACTTGCACGTAGGCACATGTACACTGGGGCATGTGCATACTTATATGCAGAAGTACACTCACATGCATACATATATGCAGAAGTACACTCATGCAAGCCAAATTGTGCCCACATGTACATTTATGCACACACATCTACATACCCCTCAAGGCACACTTGCACAGGCACCGTGCACACTCATGTATTCAGGGGCTCACTTGCAGAGGGACACTTGTGTGACCACCAACATCTAACACCTGTAAAGATACCTCCCCAGCTCTTTGTTTATCTCTGGTTGTTTCTGAACCTACTTTGTTCCTTGCCTACTAGAAATTCCCGGTTCCAAACCATGTACTTCCTAGTGCCCCAATGTCTTCTGAACTCAGCATGCAAATCCTTTCCATGGTGTTAGACTGCACTGCAGGCCCACACCTCATAAGTAGGTGCCCCAGTGTGATCACCCATGCGGGCAGGAGGAAGCTAATCTCTAGGAGACCATTCAGTTAGCCCTTGGAGGGACAGTCTCAGCTACAGGTAGGGGAGGCAGTAAAGTGTATTGAAGAGAACAGAGGCTTGGGGTCTACTCCCAGCTCTGGCACTGGTCTGCTACATGGCTTTGAACAAGGCATGACCCCACTCTGTGCCTCAGTTTTCCCATCTTAACATTGAGTATAATTAAACTGGTCACTTTAGTAACCATCTTTGAGAGCTGCGGATCTTTGACAACATGTTGGGTAAGGGTGAGGCCCTTGTTGCTATCATTACTGTCCCCCACCCTTCCACCCCAGGGTCTTGGGGAGCACAATGGCTAGGGTGGGTCTAACTTGGGCCTAGGCATTAGAGCTTAGAAAATGATCATCTTCCTCAATATTGCAGAGGAACCCAATTCCTAGAGCCCCAACCCATCTTCCCTCAGAGCAGGTTCATTCAGTGCCGATGTGGTCACAGGACCCCAGTGACCCACAATGGGTACTGATGATGTTGAAACCCGGTTGCTTGAGTACAGGTCACAGAGTGCGATGCCATTATGGACCCAGATCCAATGCTGGAGGGAAGTGTCACCTGAGCTTTGGGGCAGTGCTGCGCTAGCTTCTGCCCCTCAGGCCTTGTACTGGCTCTGGGTCCTTCACCCACCCTTTTCCTCCTCCTTCTCACTTGCTAGGGCACTGTGCAAACAAAGCACAGAGACTGCTGGCTGCCACCTCCTGGTGAGTTTTGGTATAAATGACAGAAGGGAGGAGAAGTGGCAGTCAAGCCCACGTGAGTAAGTGGTCAGGGCTGTGGGATGTGCCAGGTTACACACACCCATGACACAGTGGTGCCCTGTGCCCCCCATGAGCTCACAAGGAGCTGACATACCCTGTGGGCTGGACTGAGGTCTCGGGACAGAGCACCAGGGAGTAAAACAATGAAGGATGTGGGAAAATGAAAGGAGAAGTGGGGCAGGTGAATGGAGTTGCAGGTCCCCCTTTGATTTAGTGTCAGCTCTGTGCAGACTGGGGAGCTCTGTGCAGCACCTTGGCTACTCGGCACTTGGCACTGAGCCCTTGGAACCACAGGCTCGGAAATAACTGCTATGACACCTGCTAGTGCAAACAACTCAGAGAGACCTGGAGTGTCAGCCAGGCCTATCATACCTCTGTGTGCATCTGCCAGACAGCAGGGCCCAGACAGTGTCATTCCCTGGGCCCAGCGGTGTGTGGGGAGGGAGGAGGATGAAGGTAGCAGCTCCATGTGGCTCAGTGCTATTACCATCAGGAACAGCTTTGCTGCAGCAGCTAACCCAAGGGCTAGGCAGGTCATTCATGCAAGCTCATCTTCCTTCAGCATAGCTTTGTATTGAAGGGTCAGCTCCAAACTCTGCAAAGGCTGAAGTCTGTAGGAAGAGATAAGCGCTCAGGGGTTGACCCAGAGCTGATGAGGCTCTCTGGTGAGCCTTTCTGAGCTGCAAACATACCTTGTGGACTAGACCTGGAGGCATGTGGGCCTGTCTGCTCTATGTGCAGATGATAGTGCTCGGGAACCTTATCCCCACTTCTCACCAACCTGTACAGTGAGGCCATGTATCTATTTCAGCCCAGAAGTAGCCATGCCAACATAGACAGTGACCGTGAGGATTTGGGATCCTGCAGTTTGATAGGTGCCTTTTGAGAACTAAATTGACTTTTGCAGCTGCTCCAGCACAGGCTACATCAGACAAACCAAGGGCTGCCTGCTGGGGGGGAATGGCAAAATGTCTGAGGTAGCCAATGCCTTAGTGATCGTGACTGATATGGCCTGGATCCCAGTGAAAGAGAGGGTCACCCCCCAGGCACAGAGCTGAGCGTTGTCCAGCACCTTTCACCTGTGTTTCAAACTGGCTCACAAGCCTTGCCAGGGCGAGAGTGCTGGATGTATGGAGCAGTCAGCAACCAGCCTTGCCCCACCTGGTGACTCAGTTGCCACCAACTGTAAATACCTCCCTGGTAAACAGAGTTGAGTGCAAACACACATTGTAGGGACAGAGGGAAGCAGTGCTTGCCCTGAAGAGGAGCCAGTCTCACCATGCATGCTGCAGAGGAAGCCCCCGGAGCAAAGTCCCCAGTGGCAGGTCAGTAGGGGCAGGGTTTTATCAGGATGACCAGATCCAGGGAGGAGCAGCTGGGTTGGGAATGATTTTACCCAGATGTTACTGAATTTTGTGCCAGTGCAGATGGCCTGACAAGCAGCCCTGAACACAGAGCCTCAGAGAAGCCCCAGGAGCAGTCCCTGCAGGGCTGACTTGCCCCCCAGGTCTGCTTCAGGTCCACAGAGGACAGAGTGGTGCTTAGTCTATGTGGTTTGGCCAGATTTTGGCCTTTCTGCTCAGGTGACTGACAGACCCATTATCTGGGTGGGGAGCATGATGCAGGCAACCATCCACTGGGAACAGGACTAAGACCCACCCAACTCATTGCAATGCATTGGGGCCACCAAACAGCTGTCAAATGGGGGCAACTGGGAGTTGATGATGATGGGGGATCACCTCACTCCAGTTACTTCGGTGAGTTCACACCAGTCCTATCCCCTGTGGGAAATCAGACCAGGCCTCCAGCCAGCCCAGTCCCATCTCTGACTGGCCAGACTGCTCAGGGGAAGGAATAGCTCCAGTGTACTGAGGCTGTCCTGTGGGTGGGGGCTATTCTTTGTGGCCTGAGCCAGTGATCAGTGTCAACTAGAAGCAGGAGCACTGGGAGCCCTTGTCAGGATGATACTGTAAGGAAGTGGTTTTCAAACTTTTTAGACTCATGGTCTCCTTCTTTTGACCCAAGGCACCCCTTGTTAGCCTCCAGACATCCCTCAGAAAATGCCAGCTCTGAACTTTTACTCATTTCTTGACTCCAGAAAAATACTAGAGCAATAATTTTTCTCTTGCAAAGAACTCAAAAAGACCCAAGCAGGTCAGAATGGTTTTAAAACTATGGATTCCTGGTTTAAATCTCTGGGCTTATCTCATGAATCATAAAAAAACATAGAATTACAGAACCATAGAAAATGAAGTTTGGAAGAGACCTCAGGAGATCATCTAGTCCAACCCCCTGCTCACAGCAGGATCACCTCTAATTAGATCATCCCAGCCAAAGCTTTGTCTAGCCAGGTCTTAAAAACCTCCTAGGATGGAGATTCCACCACCTCTTTGGGTACCTGTTACAGTGTCTTACACTAAATCATGTGCCGTTTCTATACTAACAGGGCTAATATTGAGTGGCACCCTGTGGTATTCTTAAAAGGGTCTCACAGTGCCCCAGGGTGCTGTAGCTCCCTGGGGAGGAACCATGACTGCAGGAGTTTAGGTAGGGGGGTCTTCCCAGCAATGGCAGGAGCACAAATAAATTCAGTGAGGACTGTACAGTCCAGGGGCATCTGTGTTACAGTCTGTGACCCACTCCTACCTGCTTCCTGGCGTCTCCCTCTGGTCCGGCAAGTGAGGGCAGCTCTGCCCCCTCCCAGAGTTACAGAGGGACTGGGTGTGTCATTGCAAAGAGCAGAGGCAGAGAGAGAGCTTGGCCCAGGGAAGCACAGCCATTGCCACTTTCCCCTGAGCAGCCCCAGCCTTATCCCCCGTACCTCGTCCCCTCATTGCCTGTCCTCTTGCCCTGACTCAGGAGAGGAACTAGGTCAGGGTTATCTAGACAAATCAGCTTGTCTGGTGGAGACTGATTTGTAATACTAAAGGAACTGAAAACTGAAGGAGGCACCTGGAGTATAGGGTATAAGGACTAGATAAGAGTGGGGCAAATAGCACAAGTCAGATGGAGGGAGGGGAGCCTGGGTCACACTGCAGCCTACCATTTGCATCCTTTCTGTGGGGATAAGTGGAAAGGACTTTGGCACCCTCCTCTACTTCATTGATGTTAGTGACCAACAGAAAATCCTTTTTTTTTAAAGAGCAAAGCAATGCATTTAACTGCTCCCCCGCTCAATATTCCTGGAGGTGCTCTCTGTTGGGATTGTATGTGCACACGGGAGAAAGCAAGAATGAATGAATTATGGGATATGCATGGGGACTGCTTTGTGGATGGGTTATTTGGCAATGTCAGCAAACCCCAGGGGGTCCTTTACCGAAGCCCTGCTAGAAGTCTGTGTGGGACAGAACAAGAGGAGATGGGGAATACATCCAACACTGCAGGGAGCTCCAGCCTGAGACCAGTAACCAAGCTACCTCCCAAATACTCCAGTATCAACTCTGTAGGCCGCTGACTGCAGTGGACATCCCAGCCACAGATGCCCCAGAGCCCATGCCAGTAGATGCAGGAATCCAGGCCTGGGATCTGCCCCCAGGTCCCATTTTGGAATGAGAGGAAGTGGAGGTCTTGATTGGCTCCTCTTATCCTCCTTGTGCTCCGGACACTTCCCAAGTCTCTGCCAGCTGTTTCTGGCCTTTGTGTTCTACCAGCCTCCCTGGGGGCTCCCAAAGCAGGAGGCAGGAGCAGGGCAGATGATGGTAGCTCACACCTGATACTGGGTTGGGCAGGCCTGCAAACCCTGACAGCTGCCCTGGGAGCCCTGCTGCCCTCTGTCTTTCATTTCAGGTCTGGAGGTGCTGGAGGATCTGCTGACCTATGATGATCTTTTCTTGGAGTATTTCAATGCCTTCTTGGCTCAGCCTGTGAGTATGTGCCCCCCCAGCCCACCACTATGCTGTGGCTCTGCTCCCATTGATGGCCTGGTTCTTCCAGCATTCACCCAATGAACCCGTAGGCAGGGCAGTGGGGTGATTTACCCTTCATTTCCAAGGGCATATGTAAGAGGAGGGTCCAGCCCCTGGTTCGAGGAGTGCACAAGCAGATCTAACTCTCAGGGTGGAACTGGATCAGTTAGGGGGTAGGGCCTGAAGGGAGAGGTAGGTGCATGAGTGTGGTACATGCAGGCAGGTTCTGTGAGTAAAAGACAGGGCTTCTGCCTGGGGTGAGTCACTGCCTCCCTCCTACCTGGCATGAGTAGTTCTCAGCTGATGCCAGGCTTGAGGGTAGGTTTGTGAGGTGGGCCGGGCACATCACCACTGAGAGTGGGGTTGAAATCCCAAAGTTGCACAGAGCCTGATTGGAGCTGGACTTGGAAACCCATGATACAGCTCCACTGCAGCCTCTTTACACGCACTCTGCTGGTGGCAAGGGGCTGCAAAGCAGACCAACCCAGCTCCTTGGGAGTTCCCCCAGTAAGCAGTGGCATGGGGCAGGGGAATGGCTCAGCACTGGGACTGTCAAGGACCTGGCTGAAGGGCACGCCCTCCGCTGAATGGGCGGGTGCAACAGGTTAGAAGGTACCAGGGCAGGCTCTGTAAATTAAAGCAGCCTTGAGATAGTGTACGCTTGTGGGGGGAATGGAGTTCATCTCTTTCTTCCTTTAGGATCTGCCATCATGAAAGCAGGATGGCTTAGGGTCAAGAAAATTTGCCTCAGGGCCTGGACTTTTTTTTAAAGAATGTTTTTGTGTTCCAAGCCAAATCAAGTCCAAATCCGTGAGTCAGTCCAGAACCATCAGTGGCCCTATAACCCATAAACATCCTCCACCCCCACCAGGGACTTTAGATATTTCCAGAGTCTTCTGGCAGGCATCCTATGTGCTGGCCCAAGCCCAGAGGCTTGGGGTTTGGATGCCCCCAAGTTTTGCCCACCCTCAGCCATATGGCTGCAGGAGCAAGCTAGGAAGGAGCCTCCCATTTCCATAAAGTGGGCTTTAAGCCCCAACATCTTGGCAGGTATTAAACCACATCAGAAGAACAGTTATCCCTGGGAGCACTTAAGGAAAACTGCCTTCGTGGACCCAGATACATGGTGCCTCAGGGCCTGGATGATTTTGTAAGTCTCCCCAGATTGAACCAAGACTCGGTGTGGCTGACAGCTTATGTCAAATGCTCTCTCCCCTGGACATGCCATACAAAGGGAAACTGGGCTCACAAGGAAGGCATGTAATAGAAACTAGGCAGAAAGCAAAATGCTGCAGTGGAGAGCTCAGCTGGCCAACTGCTTGCATATGCTGTGCCAGTGAGCAGTGTGCGGAGTAGAATCCAACCATGGAAAGTCCTCTCCCCTATCATCAGCTTTCAGACGCTGCAGCGCAGTGAGGGACACTGGCAGAAGTGGGTGTGGGAGGCACAGGGCTGGAAGCTCAGTTTGATTCATCCATTGTAGCAGCATTGTAACAGCTGGTTCCTGAAATGTGCCAGTCCCCAGCGCTGTGGGGCTTTCCAGGGCGATGCGAGTTTGTGTCTTTGACCTAGGCTTTTCCTCTGAGGCTGCACTATGACCGGCTCAGGGGGCAGCTGGAAGAGCTGGACGGCTTCCTCCAGGAGTGTCCTAGACAGCTGAGCTCTCCTCAGTATGGAGCAAGTGATGCCGAGAGGGAGAGGACTTTGGGCTGGCTTCGGAGGGAGCGCTTAGTCCCATTCCTAGGGTGAGTTCTGGAGTGTGCGTACACTGTATCCTCTGTACTATAGGACTGTCCTATACTATTAGACTGCTCCTCTGTGTGTCATGGGCCCTATGATGCAGAGGCAATGGAGATTCTCTTTCAGTGTCTTAACCAGGGAAGAGCTTAGTGCCTTCCCTGCTGCTGCAAGGCAGTGCCAGGTGACTGTGCTGGTTGCAGCCCGTTGGAGTGATGTTGGCTGGTCCAGCCAGAGCAGTGGGGCCAGGAGGTTTCACAGCCTCTCTGGGGCAGAGTTTGTAATGCTAGGGGGAGAGCAGGGGGGAGAGCAGTGGATGAAAAGAGAGCTACAGTACCCTTCCATGGAGGCCAGTGTGTGTACAGCAGAGCCAGGGAGGCTGGAGTAGGCAGGTGCAAGCTCAGGACAGAGTCTGGTGAGAAATGTTCACGTGACACACTTTTGACTGAGCTGATGCTGGGGTCCTGCTGAGGGAGTGCATCCCTCCTGCCCTGCAGCACCATGCTGCCTCAGCCCTGGGCTCCCCACACCCCACACTGGCTCTGCCAGTGCCTCCCTCTCCTGCCCTGCAGCTCCTTCTGCTGTCCCAGCCCTGGCCTTGCCATGCCAGCAGAGCCTCTGGCTTTGCCCTGGTTCTGTTACCATGGATAGTTCTGTGATTGTGGATCCTGTTAGCATGCATCTTGGAGCAGTTGCTTGCCCCCTGCTGTGGCCATAATTGGCAGTTTCACCGACTGACTGTCTGCTGTCAGGACCACTTTTTATCTGGAGTACAAGCTGGCAAAGTTGCTGATGCGTCCGCTGGATGAGGGCTACCCGGTGAGCCAGCACGAAGTTCGTGGATACAGCCGTCAGTCTGACAGTGCTGCCGTCTCGAGCATTCCCAGTCACCCCTCAACAGCTGGGCTGACCATGGGGGTCCCCAGCCATGGGCTTCTGAGGCCTCTTAGGCTGACCCGCAGCACCCCAGCCCGTCTAGGTGAGTCCCCCAAGAGCCAGCCCTGGAGCATGCCTGTGTCCTCCTGCCCCCAGGCTAAGGAGAGAGGTTACTTCACTGCACCCATCCTCCCCTGGACTTGGGAGGGAATGAAGGGAGGCCTATAAGTCACCCAGCCTGGTGTCTGATGCTGACCTGAAATGGTGACATCAGCTTGCTTTTCCCCACAAAGCTGGGCCAGGAGCTGAGGCACATCAGACTCAGAGTTCAGGGTGAAAAAACACCTCTCTGCCCTGGGGGGCTGTGTTTAAACATTGCTTTGAGACAGTTTGAAGTCTAGCATAGAGCAGGCCTAACTCAAAACCGGGGATAAGCGTATCACATCACAGAAGAACAACACACAAATTAGTTATTATTCATAATCAATAATCACAAAGGAAACTAATCACACATTGCAGAACCCAGAAGAAAAAGAAGAACCCAGAAGAAGTCAGACACACAGTCACACACCTTTTGCACCACAGGAAAGATTAATATGAAGCATGCTGGAAAGGCAGGTGCTAGATCTTCTGGCAGGGGAGGGAGAGGGATAGAGGGGGTAGGGGGATAGCTAGAGC